GGTAAGATGCGGGGCCGGGTCTGTTTGAAGGGACGGCTGCTTACTCTGGCATTTTACGAGCGAAGACGGTGTGCTGCCGTCGACGGGCTGCGCTGGGTCTTGACGGCGCGGGCGCGCTGGCGCCGAACGAGTTGTAACTACACCGTGAACACCCACGTGGATTTGACAGCGGGATCAACCAGGGTGTCTCCACATGCTCTGCGTCCCGCCCCGGGAATAGGTTACACCGTCCATATGCGGGAGCGCAGCGGCCTAACCGCCTGAGAAAACGCCCGTATGACGGTCTTTGCCCCGGGTTGCCGAGTGACGTTGTTTTACGGCGCCGGCTCTACAAATGTGCAAGCGGACGCGGTAAGTCCGCGTGTCCGACGTACAGATGAAGGTTCGGCTGTGTGCGTGGTACAACAGGCGTGGCGCGTGTTCGGCGCGACTTCCCGGGGTCACTTCTAACTTGAGCCGTACGAAACGACCCAAGACTCTGCTCGCACACAGGGTGAACTCCACTGCGTCCACTTGCTCTAAACGGGTCGTAGAGAATTGTCGCCCCACTGGGCGCATTAAGTGCGACAAGGCACACCGCACCAGAGTAGAAGGACCGACAACCAGTCGAACATGGTAGGTGTGGTTCTTACGGTGAATGGTAAGCACTGGGTCGACGGTATCGGAGAGGACCAACCGGCATGACTCGCGGTGTGCGTAAAATTGACCTTCGTGTCGCACCACGGGGTTGTTCGCGACGGGCGGCGGATGCGACGGCCGAGTTTGCTCCCTCTAGGCGCAGCGGAGGCACAAGCTGCCACGTTCATCAAAGACCGGTGCGCGTGCCGTTACCTGCCTAAACGTCAATGGCGCGCCCTGTGATGAGGGTCGTTCCATTTCTGAGGACTTGCGACGAAAGTCGAGGACGAAGGGTCTCAACGTAACCAGCTGACACAAAATGGGACAGTGGAGAAGAACCAGGAAATCCGCTAGACCCCTCGCCCCACCAGTTCGCCAACGATTTGGAGCTCGTACTCTGGAGGCCGTACGGCAGAACCGTTCGACAAAGTGCACTCGGTGTAGTCAGGTTCGCCTTCTTTCCTCTACGAGTACGCCGCGCGGAGTGTTAAGTAGCCGGCTTACCGCATAGTGGTACTCAAGCCATTTCCTTTACGACACTGTCCTTGTTGTCATAGTCATAGTGTCAAGTTAACCAGGGAAACAGAGGGCCAACACTTAAGTTTCGTGAAATCTTTTGGTTATGGTGGATGATGCCGCCCAACAGTAGTAGGAAATTATATCTTTGTGAACACTTGTCTACTGTGTTGTGTGTTTTGGTTGAAGATTTCGACAGCACGGTTTAGGGTCAGCTCATAGGCACCGTGAGACTCTATTTCAACGTACCTGATGTGTAGCGTACACACAAACCCAACACGACAAAGTCCAACGGACCGCACCTCTTGTGCAACGGTCGTTGAGGGGTGTCTCGAAAGGCGTAGCCGGCGCAGTGAGGGAGACTACTCGAGGGAGAGTAGGCTAGTAGGAAGGACGACGACGGGCCGAGACTCGTTTCAGGGGTTGTGTCTCAGGTTCTCCATTTCGTCGTAGTAAAGGCTTGTTACCGTTTGTCGCAAGACATGTTTTTTGAGACGACCATCGTTGACGAGAGACTCTCTGGTGATGGTAGTGTCGACTGTTGTCTGATTTTTGGGACACACCTTATACGATTTTGACAAAATTAATAAAATTCACCAGGTATGTTGACGACAAGAGGTTGACCCTTGTAAGTGTGGTTTTGGTTAACCCGAACGTTAGTTATCAAACGCACTGAAAGTTACAATCGTATTGTTCCCTTAACGTCCGAGTAAAATTGTTGGTGCCTGTCGTTAAAATTGGATTAGTAAACCCAACCTCTGGTAAAAATAAATGGTTGTCTTGGTGTGTGGAAAGTGTTATATAAGGATCGTTTACAGAACGTGGGTGAGTGTA